CCTATTATTACTGAAGAGGGCACAAAGGGATTTTTCTATGTTTACGCGTATTTTTCTATGTGTATAATTATTAGGCATAATCACACAAACAGTCAAGGAAATATTTAGAAAACTGGCGCTTCTTAGATCCAAAAATCGATTTTGAATAATATATTTCTTTAGGAGACAAAGCATCTTGCAAATTCTATTTCCAAACCAATGCTTTTGGACAAAGTTGTCTGCTACGCATATATTTATATTTGACATATTTTCACTTATTATATGTATTAAATGAGTCAAAAAGTATTATATTATTATTAAAACTCAACACAAGATATTCAAAGTCTCAGAAGCGATCTGTCAACCGGGTTTGGTAGCCAAAATGCTTATCGGTAGCAACAATTTTTTGTAACTACGTTTATTTTAAGAGCCATTAGCCATCTTTTTATAGGGACATTTTATCGCACTTTTTTGAAGTTTCATATATAAATCTTTTGCTATATAAATCTTGAACATACCTAATGAAGTAACAAGACTAATTTATATCCTTTCAAAGTCCGCAGATTTATCGCTGTGACGAGATAAAGGACAGACAGTCTGTCCATGTAATCTTTCTTATTCTGGTTTAAATATCAATTTACTGGTTTTGAAGGGATAAGTGGCTGAAAATTAATTCTGTTGAAACACCGCAAATGTTTTTCGCTAAATCGATTTTGGAAGCTCCTTTCAAAATAATAAATAATATGGAATACATATTTATTAGGTAACTTCGAGTATTGTTATACCGGAAGAAATTAATAAACCATTGAAATATGGAATTGATTTAGTAAATAGTACATATTTAACTTTCGAATTGTAAGAAAGATACTGCTTCTGAATTCTATTGTAATAGTGTTATTCGACTGTACAGTGTAAAATGCAAGGATTCTAAACCATTCGTAGTAGCTACACGCTAAATGATCGTAGAACTGTTTTTGGGAAGCGAATTTGACAACTGTTTCTATTACGGTATCGATATATTATGTTTTATAGTTTTGGAAAATGGAAAGCAGCAGCTCCGAATTATATTTCGTATATTTAATTTGGTATTAATTTAAAAATCTACTTTAAAAACATTTCATTTTTATCATACATTGTGCGTTTATTTAGGCTGACTATAAATGTGTTCAAATAGGTCTCTTCCTCAATTATTAGTATAGGGTAGTGTGAAAGTGTAACTTATCAACAGCAATTGTAACTTTATTGATAGCAGCAATTATAGCAAAGTGACTATTAAGTAGGCAGTATGCGGCTGAGTTGAGATAGTGAGCTGGTTTATAGCCTCTAGTGTGGTCCACACAAACTAATGGATCCCGCTGAAAACTGCTTTCAGAAGTTAAATACAACTATTCATACCTTATGAAATTTTAAATTACCTAAAAATGCTTCCTCAACCGATGTTTTTATCAGATAATGTAAGAACTGCTAGAATATTTGCTTTAATTAATCAGTAGCTTAAGTAGTATACCTACATGCATTCTAACTTTATGATAAAATAAACAAATGGTCTGGGCCTCAGATTTCTGTATCTGTTTTGTGATCATTTGCAAATCTTTTAGGTAAGTAGGTGATCAGCCTCCTGTGCCCGATACACGCCGTTGATTTTTTAGGACTAAGGCAAGCATCCTCACGATGTATTCCTTCACCATTCGAGCGAATGTTTAATGTGCACATAGACAGAAAGTCTTTTGACGCACAGCTGGGGTCGAACCTTCGATCCTCAGAGATGAGAGACGCACGCTGAAGCCACTAAGGCAACACTGCTTCTGCTGCTATGATATATATTTAAAAATCCCTCGTAAGTACCGTTTGGAGAATTATTTAAAAATAATACTACTGCAGTTATAATCAGTATTTATATCAAATATTTCTAATTAACGTAGTAAATCTTCAAGTTTCAACAAACGTTTTGAAATTCATATAAAACTCCAAAAATACATACACGTATCAATAATAATTAAATTTATTCAAGCAACTCTATGTATTGAGGCATTATACAGAAGCAGGCTCGTGCGCGGGTACAGTTAATTAAATAAATTGTTATCGATGAAAGCCTCAATTCGTCCGCGTACAGAAGTTCAATGACCACAAACACACCACAATTTTGTATTAACTAGGACATTTTGCTATTCAAAGATATAGCCACCATCTGATAGGTTTCCAGTTTTGAAAGACGTTGTTAAATGATATCCTGAGTTTATCAAATTTATGGGCATCGTACGTACAGTCGAGTCGTGTGCGGTGGGGCAGGCCGGGTGACGCGATAGTATCACTGCACGAATGTACTTGAACAAGTACCCACAAGGGCTGGATTTTCTACTTGCTAAGAGTCATTGTTTTTTGAAGTATTATTTATTCTCAAACATACGTAGCCGTACGTAAAATAAGATTTCTGTATGCTATTTTTATGTATGTGCGAATGCGAGTTTTTTGCAAATTTTGCCTTAAGTTACATTAAGTAATGTACATTGAATATTATTAATAATTATATTTCTACCGGATACCTACGTCATAACTAATAATTAATCAAACAATAAAAAATTTCAATATACCTACTGCGGATACATTGTGAATCATATAATTTTAGGTATATAAAAATTAATGGACAAATATTCATGTACTTGCTTAATAATTATTATTAAAATATCACACATATAGGTACCTAATTGTTGAAATGTAGGTATTTTATTGGCGCAACCCAAACTATACGTTTTGATTAGTAAAATCATAACAAAAAAATGATTTTGAATTATTAATACAAAATGCAGTCAATAAAACAATAAAGTAATTGATTATTTGCACCTAGATATTGTCTAGATCGTGTGTGAACAAAGTGTAGTTAGTAAGATAAGATTACCTGCGATAAGGCAAACTATCCATTAGTTAACTAAGGCTTGTAAGGATGACCTTTAACTATGATCCCTATCTTCAATTGCTTATCTACTAATTAATTGAACTTTTTAGCTATACAATCTTACATTATATATGTTATACAACGAACAGATTCATAACGAAGTTGTCGTAATATGTTAGGTAACTATTATTTGGATATTTATATATTAAGTTAAAAAATTAGTTATCTTATTACAGATATATAAAGAAAGATATATAATCAATATCATATAATTTTAATTGTATGGGCAGTCAGCCTTTAATTTCAATTACTTTTTTATGCACACAACATGCTTTGCCTCATGCTGTATATAACTCTCGAGTGCGTTGACGGTTTTTAAAATTTGGTATTTTAAAGAACGACTCGTTTTATAGAGGGGAGAAGCGTGAATGTTTTGCATTTAATCTAATCCACAAGTTCTTAATACGGTTCGTCAAAATATTGAATGAAGTACATGCGAATTAAAGTATCTGAACTATTAATCTGAACGTTTTCTCGCGCGAGAAATAACCTTCCGTTAAATTCTCAAAAGTGAACGAGTAAAAAACGCCATCACTAAATAACTGATGGCTCGCGTCTGGTGACCACATAAGAAAGATCACATCTCGACTCAGCTGCCTCGGGTATATAATGATATATGCATCGGTACATACGAACAGGTTCCGGGAGCCTTATAAAATTGCAATATAACCGCCGCTGAATATCGATTAATAAAAAACCTTCGTATATGATTAATCGATTATGCATTATTCAAGTTTCGACTAATTAACTCACGAATTTCATAAACTCAAGTTGTGAAGTTCAGTTTTGAAATGTGAGCCTATGTACATTTTAATAAGTAACTTTAGTTAGTTGTAGTTTAGTTAGTCTTAAATGCTATTTAATACATTACTAGACAAAACATTACTATTTTTATAAAAATAAATAAATCAGTGTCGCTACAACTTCTTTAGGTCTAGGCCTCAGATTACTGTATCTGATTCATGATCATTTGTCAATCTTTCAATCTAATAGGCAACTAGGTGATGAGCCTCCGACACACGTTGTCGATTTTTTGGGTCTAAGGCAAGCTGGTTTCCTCACGATTTTTTGCTTCTCCGTTCGAAAGAATGTTAAATACACACATAGAAATAAACTCCATTGGTGTACAGCCGGAATCGAATCTACGACCTCAGGGATGAGGGTAGCACGCTGAAGCCACTAGGCCAACACGAACAGAGAGAACAGACTACTCTTTAGCATTATAATAATGAATTTTTAAAACAAACAATAGGTATATAAGCACGACTAAGAGTTAGTATAATTTTTATGTGGTTTTAAATAAACTCAATTGAGTCGTTTGAATATTAATGTTGTCGGTTTAATGTGGCCAATAATATTTCTTATCGGACCAAAGAATTATCAGTTATCGTTGAATTGATTTAGGTCGAGGACCGAAAAATGGCGACCATATAATATGTATGGTTAGCACATTCAAGTAAACGAAGTTGTTTTTCGCTATACATTCTTAAATTTTCGTTCTTTGATTTGAAATTGTTAAGAGCAGCTTTGAAGTCTTTATATAGTAGTAGTGGTATAGAAAAGTAAATTCTTGAACGCAATCAGTATTATGTAGCGGGCATTAGTAGCCACGTCGTATTTTTAATTGAAGCCCTAATTTAATGACTTAACACGTCCTACGTATCGGCTATTTGACATTTCTCAACATCAATAACGTGACCAAACATGAAGCAAGGCATTTCTGTGGACCTGTTTTACTGACCGTACGCCCAGCTCGGCTCAAAGAATCCACTTTTTAGTGTCCGTTTGATGTTTCTTACCGTATTGGGAATGCGAGATGGAACTGACCATAGTAAATTTAATTAATAGACGATATATATAATCGTGATGAAGCCATTACAAACTTTACCAAATAAAAGACTTCAAAGTATTTGTATTCAAATGTATCACTCCCATTGTCTAGCTCTGTTTAAGGCAAGCGCTATAATTAAAATTTTTGGTATCGATTAACGAGGACGACGCAATGAAAATAATCTTAACGAATTTTTCTTTAATGATTAACTGCTTGCAAATATTTATTAATTAATGTTTAATTTGCGGTGCATGCGCCGTTCACGTTTCGACTATAAAGAGACGGTCGGGAAAGATCAAAGGGCTCTCGAAACTGGCTTAGTAAATTAAAACATTGCAAAGCAGCTATCCATAGATGTCTCGCTCGGGCGATTTCAAAAATGGCGTCGCGGTTCGCCCTGTGACGAGTAAGTTTTTCGCAACCGTCTCCACTCGATAAATAATGCCGCGGTCTTTGACAAAAACTCACCTAGTCCTGTTCGGTGGCCGGCGGCGCCCTCCCGCCCTCTCCACTCGCCCTTCACTGTCTCTCTTTGCCCGCACTCCATCCGAAGCCTTTTTCTGCCCTTTCCGAGGCGCCGGCGCATTCAACATCCTCACTTTCACGATTACAACCCTAACTATTTACACGGCTATGCGCTAAAATAATACCTACTTATATTTATGGCAATTTGTTTAACTTCACCAACTATTACAACTGCAGGAACACGATCACGTTACACTATACTTATGCGAGAGTATTGAGGGGTGATGGCGCGGTTAGACTGTTTGCACACGACTCTGGTACGAAACGATAATCTAACTTAATATGACTCTTACTTAGCTTTAAGGGTACGAGACCGGGTCTCTTTGGTAGGCATATTAATTTGTACAATGTTATAGTCCATTTCACCGCCAACGACGGCCTCTGCTCATATTCTACGATAGAGCTACACTATGATACACGGAAGAGATTTCTACAAATTGCACTGGTTTTCCAAACGCGAACATCTAAGACGATAGCGCGAATTAAAATATATGTAAATAATTCAATAAATCAACAAAAACAACCCAAAACACAAAATAATACGACCCGTTTCTATTCTAACATTAACAGTTTATTCGTCATACAAAAGTGAACATGTCAAATTCGAATTAATTAATTTAAAAAATAATCACAACAACCGAACAACACTTAAATAACGAAAATAATTACAAACAATTTACAAACACAAAGGGCTAGGGATTGTTTGAATTGCAGAGTGCAATCGTATCACTGTAATTATTATTATTATAGGTAGTACGCGCGCACCTAATGCTCGGGATGACCCTGTGCTGCCGCCGCGGCCGCAGCCGCTGCCGCAGCAGCCTTCTGTGCTTGCGCCTGTTTCTCTTGTTCATTTAACTCCTTTATTGCCTGTATCTCTTTCTTTAACTTCATCCTTCGATTCTGAAACCATATTTTTATCTGTCTTTCCGTGAGACAGAGTGCGTGGGCCATTTCGATACGTCTCCTTCGCGTGAGGTAGTGGTTCGTGTGGAATTCTTTCTCTAATTCTAACGTCTGATATCTTGTGTACGTCTGTCTCCCTCGTCTTCTGAGGCCATTTGCTCCTGAAACAAAAAGAAGAAAGTTGTGGTTATTGATCGAGGCGGATGTTAGGCAGTTGAAGAAAAAAGGTTGATGTGTGATGTCGGTGCACCGTTTGATCGTCATTGAATGGGTTTGCTGTCGCCGTGTATTTGAAGTGACGTAACAATTGCTTCTGGAGACAGCTTCATTTAGTCTTAAGGATCAATATTGATAAATGGTGTAGCTTATAAAACTGGTTCTATTTCTAAAACCCTATTCAAATAAGCCTTGTAAATAACAAGTAAAATATTCAATTCATATAAGTAAATAAGGTGAGATAAATTGGCTGAAGAGGTGTTCATTTGACCGTGTTTGGCTTATAACAGGTTAACGTAACGAATGTTATTAAGCATCGTTGGGGCCGGTTACTGGAAACAACGCTGAATTGGTTCCCGAGAATTCGATCTGAGATAGCCGGCTACAGCTTGATGGCCGCGGGACGTGAAAATTCGTACGTAACAACGCAAATAATACAAAGAAAAATAATACAGAATTTAAAATTAGGAATACGAGTAACTAATTAAGAACATCGCAATTTGTGTAAAAGCAATGACGGCTATTTTAAAATACGTTGGGTATATAATTATTCGATATCCAAATGAAACCTTTAAGTGCTGCATTCGGTTTTTATGAAGCCAATGTTGATAGATTAAATTTCAACGATCGAACGGAAGATAATATTCATATACGAATAAACCATATAAATAATGTGTCAAAAAACCAATCGAGATGTTAAAAGACTAAGCACTCAAGTAACACGTTGCCTTTGAAGTTGATACAAAAATAAAAGCACTTTAGAACGAGGCCGAAGAACGCTTCTCACAGTGTAAAAGGGTTGGCAAGCGATTTAATGGCTTAATTATCTCAAGTGGGAGCGGGCAGCTTAAAGACCACAGTGCATGTATGCGTTTATCTATTATATTTAAGGAGTTCAAGTCACGGGGGATATATTTATTGAATTGTACTATGTAATATATAAGAATCCTAAGCATGAGAAACTTGGACGTATTTTGCAATTCATCAATCTTAATAGTGATTCTTTAATTTAAATTTGGAAAACGTGTAAATTTTGTTTAGTCTCGATAACTCTTCAATAAGAACGGATACGGAAAGAAGCATCCATTTTTTACCGTATGTATTTTTAATATTTATTGTATTATTAATAATTTATTTATTATTAACTGGCAACTGGTTTTGTTTCGAAAATCGAACACGCCCCGTATAATGCGCATTAATACTAAACTCTTATATTTTGGCGGAATTTTGATTACAAGAATTAAGCAATGTCCGTTTTCTAAGAGCGTTACTTTAAGTACAGCCTTTTTAATAATTAACAAATTTATTTCAGTCGGAGGAGGTGGTGCTTAATTGAGTGACGCTAATTGCCTAAGCCGTAAAAGCCTCCGCCACGAGACGTAAATACTGAACCTTTTCTTTGTACATTGTAGTAGTACCTACATAATTTAACCAATTGACAATGTTCATTTATTTAGATTCCAAACAACAAAATAATAACGAAATTTATTTTATACACATATAAACAAAACTGCAAAATATTCCGTTTCAAGTTTTTCTGTTTGACTTCTGACTACGTCACAGACTGATAAATCTTCTGCAACATTGTCAGTCCAATTAAGAGAAAATGCAATCGCTTTCTCAACGGATGTGCAAACACCTTTTAAACAAATAAATATGAAAGCCATAAATATATGTATGCAAATAAATATTTTTTTGTTTATGCAATTAACGTCAGTGGTTTCTGTCAATTTGCGCCTTGTAAATTTAACTCAAAATCTGGCGTTCATAAAGGCAATAAACATGACACAAACGACTTCATTAAGACGTTGGGCGGGACTTTGACAAGCAAAAAAGATGTGTGCTGCCTTAATAGGTAAATAATGACAATCAAATGTTTCCGCAAGCTTCAAATCAGAAAAATCTTCTGTACATCTGTATCGAGTTCCGGCGTTATAGGTTGTGCCACCCCTTTGCATTTCGCTTCTCAAGGAAATGTTCTATATATATCAAGAGCTTGTATCTAACTTAAATAAGAGTAATAATCGAACATTAGTAGGAAACAAAATATCACGGAAATCGTTTCGATGTTCTTGAACAAGTGTCAGAACTCGGGACCAACCCGTTTTGCAACACGTGTAGCGAACAAAAGAAACTCGCCATCCCCGCTTTCCCTCAGCTGGGCGACAAAGGATTGCGCAAGTTTATATTAGTCGTAAAGAATTTTGAACTAAGATCTATAGTCTGTAAACCGCTCGTAATTCTCAATGGTCCCGCAATTGGGGAACATTTGAAACAACTGTTGTTTGCTTCGATATTTTAATTGTTCCTAATTCATAAAACTTTCGTGATTTACACCCGCTGCGTTGAAAACTGAAGAGATTTTTTTCGAAACACGTGAAGCATATTATGGCAGGATGCGCCTATTTATTTTGTGGGTTCGTAAAACAATAGTCACGTGTAAAGAGTGAATTAAGAAATAAAGGCGTTGGTGTTTCGTATAATAGTTAGCTTAATATGCAATCATGCCTACGCTTGTAATTTTCTATCATAGAATTATGTAAATTAAACGCGCTACGAAGATTAAAGTCAATATAGACGTACATGCAAGCACTATAGAGATATTGTAGCCTTATTCGTTATCTGGCCTTCATTATATCGATATGAATCTTGAAATAATTTGAGTCGTCCATATAAAAAATTACACATGTAGTAAGGCTTTCACGTAAAAATAAATTAACGATCAATTTTCACGAAACGTGTTTTTTAAATCGACGAGGACAGAACGGGTTTTTATATCAGCCTCTTTCCAGAATTTTGCTTATTACATATTCGGAGGTAACCAGTTCACTGAGATAATAACTCTTATTGGTAAGACGAATCGAAAATTACGAAATGAACACCTTCAACGACACTATCGAGGTACCTAAAGGCGCACATATAAGTAATACATGAGGTAGCTACAGGTAACGTAACGGCCTACCTGGGTGGTCCAGCCTTAGCGATCAGATGATACATAATAGCTATAAATATGTATAACATTTATATCGGTAAAGATTCGTGTCGCGGTCTCTTTATTGATTCGTATTACATTGTAAGCAATTAAAGTCGTGGTTAATTTTTAATTGTTGTTTTTGAGATTGTGTTATTGATATATATTTAGATGAATTTTCGTATAATTCACTAGCAGTAAATCTATGATAACGAAAGACAAATCGAAAAAAAATATAAAAAAATACGGTATGATAATGTTTATGTAACAAGATTTTTTTCTTTAGCAAACGATTTAAACCAATAAGCAAGAATCAAGCCAGAAACCAATAAGATTTCCATTAGATTATTTATCGTATAGAATTTTCACTGCAATGAGAAACAGAACGTGCTCACGTTTAATTTATAATAGTTACCATAATGCCGCTATCTGCACACTTCCAATCAGAGCACTAGATGTGTATCGAGAGACTGCTTGTTATCTCAAAAACACAATATGAATAATACATTAGTCACCAGCACGGAATACCTGAGTACTTAAATTGGCAAAGCTTAATTGACTCAAAGTTGAAAATGAAACACTGCCAATGTTTTCTTACGTTCGATCGGCAACTTTTTGTCCGATATCTTCCCGCCACGGAATCAATTTAAATCGCTAATATGCCTCTATAGATGGAGTGCACGAAAAAAGGAATGAAAATTTGAAGACAATAGTGAAATTAAGTGCCTCCGAGATAAACAACTTCTTCTGTTGATCCGATCTCAGACGTTATTATGACATTAAGTTAAACGAACTATCCGTTTTTTAACAATTACTTTATGTTCATTGAATTTTTACTGTTGAACGGTTATTTATGACAAATCTTCGTGAAGAAATTTCATAAATTTTGAAATATAAATGAAGGCAATAAAGCGAATCGGTATTCAAGTCATAAATTGAACGTTAGTGGTTCTTAACTTGTTTTTCACGATATAAATTCAAGTAGTATTTAGTTATAACGATAAAATCATTTTCTTTAATACTATAGCGGTTTTAATAAGTAGTTCTTGTATAAAGACTTGTTAGCTTAACTCTTTTCAGCATTTTATATGTTGAAAGGAAAACATTCAATTACAATACTGTTGCTAAACATTCACTTACGATTTATGTACTGAGTCATTATAATAATTGCAGGCCATGCAACGAAATTCAGAATCGATTAATAATAAAAATTATCATGTTCGTTTACGGTCGCCAAAATCTCGAATTCCTTGGAAAAATTAAGTAGCACTCACAATAAATGCAAATTGCTAATTGATGGCTATAAGGCCCAGTTACGTGATTTATGTTAAGCTCGTAAAACGTACATAATGTATATAAACACTGCCCTTTACATGGCAGTATGTTTTATTTATATCACGCACGTAATAAAGTTACGCCTTCATCGGACGCAATTCATAACTGGAGATATTAAACTTTGAACGATATCATACAGATCTTAGATATGTACCCTTAACAATATGTGAACCCTTTTGACATAGCTCTTCGATACTGGACCCATATTACCTCATAGATCAGGGCCGAAAGCAATAAAAATTGCCCATCCCTCCGGGATTAGGACAAACCCTGACGTATGTGGCATGTAAAATCCTGAGACTTTTTCAAGGGGCCCATTTGAACTTATTTAAAAATCAATTTGGTCCTACGCCCTCGACACTAACATACCTATAAGCATTTCCTTTCGATAAAATACGATCAATATATTCGTAACTCCAAATATATGAGGCATAAATCAATAACAGCGTACTGATACAGAATTTACGAGATCATTCAGCTTATAACACGAATAACATAATGCATGATATCTATATTCAATTCAAAATTGTAAAAGGGAGCGTGTTATTCGAATTCGCACAAATATTATATCGAATTATTGATGCGAATAATTTAAAGCAAATCATTGGAACCACGTTAACAAGATGCAGCTGTTACACATTTTGAAAAACTCGTTAGTCCTCCAAAATAGAATATGAAGTGTCACTCCTTCCCTAATAAATCAGGGGTGATTAATGTTAGTTAGGAACGAAACTCTCCGTGT